CCCCGCCGCCTCCCCGTCCCAGAGCCACCGATTAAATTAGCCCGCCGAGCTCATTGTCATTCTGACTTTGACTTCGTTAGTGATAACAGAGAAGGATAGTGCACCTTTAAATGACGAGCTTTGTGTTTAATTACCCAAATAAAATGACATAAATATGAATGAGTGCTAATGGTGGTACTTGCTTTTCCGGAAGCCATTAACAAAACGATTCTTAAATGATTTGTAAAGAAAATGAGAGGAGGAGAGAGGAGCGAGAAGGCTATTAGGCGGCTAACACCCTCCTGAGTTATTATGTAGTCAACTAGCTAGCAAATATCGGGGGGCAGGATCTTGGGAGGAGAAGGGGCTTGTTGTGGGGTGGCTGGACGCAGGGCATGGCGCCTGTGGCGCAGGTGGCACCAGCTGCGGGTGACAGGGAGCCCGGGATGGGCAGCGTCCCCGGCCTCATCCCTCCGGGGTGCTGCTGGTTCAGGAGGGTCACAAGAAATCGACCGTCCTGTGACTTGTGCTGAAGGGCGGCTGGGTGCGTGGAAGCCCAGCAGGGGATGGGCGGCCAGTATTTCAGCCCGGCTTAGCCGGAGTCGCTGGTCGCGTCGAGGAAGGGGCTCCAGGGGTGACGCCCGCTCTGCTCGCAGGCCTATCTGTGGGACAGCAACAAGGACCTCGTGGAGTGGCTGGAGAAGCAGCTGGCGGAGGAGGAGGGCGTCCGCTCCGTGGTGGATGAGAACATCAAGTACATCTCGCGGGACTACATTCTGAAGCAGATCCGGAGGTGAGCGGGGCCGGCGCCGCGCGTCCTGGCGCTGCCGGGGGTCGCGCCGTGCGGGACAGCCGGTGTCACCCATGGTGGCCCCGGGGCTGGGACCCCCTTCGCTGCAGCCCCGTTGGTGCCTGTCCCGAGGGAGCGCTGGGGCCGCATGGGGGGCTCATTTCCATCGGTAGACGGAAGGGCAGGGAGGGGAGGCTGGGGGCACAGAGGGGACACGGGCGCGCGGCGCCGCGGCTGAAGCTCTCGCCTCTCTGCAGCCTGGTGCAGGCCAACCCCGAGGTGGCCATGGATTCCATCGTGCACATGACCCAGCACATCTCGCCCACGCAGCGAGCCGAGATCGTGCGCATCCTCTCCACGATGGACTCGCCCTCCTCGACGTAGGCGCGGCGGCCTCGGGCGCTCCCGGCAGCGGGCGCGGGGCCGGACGGGCCCTCGAGCCGCCTGCAGGGACTGCGGAGCAGCCTGTGCGGAGGAGGCGCCCGTGGACACGGCGGAGGCCCGCGCGGGCGAGCGGCCGCGGGCTGCGTCCCTCTCACGGTACCTTATTTATTCAGCGGGGCAGAGCGTGGCCCGGCGGGGCGGCCCGGCCAGGCCATGAAGGGCACGCGGTGCCGTGACGCCTGGCGCTGCGCCGCCTGCTCCTGCTCACAAGTGCCAACGTGGGAGCCCGGGGGGCCCCCGCGGCACCGTGCCCGGCTCCATGGACCTGCTGGGTGGCTTTGGGGCAGGGAGAGGGCAGCAGAGCCCCGGCCGCTCCTGCGCGCCCTCCCTGCTGGCCCTGAGGGGCCCTTCCCGCCCCTGCGCCACGCGGGGCTGGTCCCTCCACACGAGGGGCGGGAGGCCGCGGTGCCGGGGGGACGGGGCAGCTCTCGGGGGGTTGTGGAGGCGCCAGGGGAGCCCACGCGGCGGCTGCCGCTGCCCTCGCCGGCCTCGGAGCTGCGGGAGCGGCTCCTGCCCGGGGACCCTGCGGTGCCGATCCCGCCATCCCGGCCACTCGTGTCCCCGTGGGCAGCGTGGGAGGGAGCAGGGGCAGGAGCCCCCGGCCTTGTTTTAAGAGCAGGTAGAGGCTGTGGTGGAGGGAGGCGGGAGCCCTCGCCCTGAGCACTGCCCCAAGCGCCCCTTGGGTGTCACAGCTCCTCCCTCAGCTCCGCACCAGAGGGGTCGGTCTAGGGGACAGGGACTCGCAGGGGCCTCCCGTGGGGCAGCCCGTGGGGCCGGCGCTCCTGCCCCTGCTTGGCAGGGCTGCGTGCTCAGAACCAGCCTGCGCCCTCGTCCGATGCAGGAGCCTCTTTCCCAGGGGAGCCCCAGCAACCCCCAGTGCTGCCCGGGCCGGCTCCGCAGCCCGGGCTCCGGGTGCCATAACTGCCTCTCGCCAGCGGCCTCGGAGCGCGCCCGGAGCCGCTGCCCGGGACGGCGAGAGCCAGAGGTGCCAAAGCGGCCCCGGAGCCCCGGCTGCCGCCCCCGGGCTGCTCCGGGCCGACGGCTCCAGGCAGCGGCTCCCGGGCGCCGGCTCCGCTCCACGCGGGGCCGAGCGGCTGCGCTGCCGTCGGGTGGGCGCGGGGCCGGGGCCGCGGCCGCCGTCTTCCACTTACCTCAGTTTCTTTTAATAAAAAGAGCCGATTCCAGGTGTGTGTCCCAGGAGTGCGAGTCTGTCCCGCGCGCAGCCCCGCGCAGGGCGCTGCTCCCGGCGCCGCTTCTGCCCCCGCGCGGACCCCAAAGCGGGGCCCGGGCGCCCCGAGCAGCCCCCGCTGCCAGCCCCACGGGGAGAAACATCCATCAGCCCCACAAACACCGGCCGCTTGGCAGGGGAGGGCCCTGCGCAACTCCAGAACACATTTAAAACTCTTCAGCCTAAAATATCTACATATTAAAATGCCAAGAAAAGAAGTACCAAAGCTGTAAGCTCTCAAAAGCCCAAGATCAAAGTGCCATCATCTTTTAATGTAAACCTTTTGTTGCATCAACAGTCTTAAGAGGGATGAGAGACATCAAAATAAAAACTGAGACAAACCGCAGCTTTGTAGCTGGTTTTTGTTTTAGTCTCTTCTCTCAATTTGGGCCATGAAATAGGTCAGCTCCATTACTGATCAGCCTTCCCACAAATATTTAAAACAAATTGAATTGCACACCCAATACCCATCACAATTACGCCAGGCACAATAACTAAATTAGCAATTCAACAAAATAATTGGAAATGCGATTCTCTCCCTTCCCCAGCCTCCCTCAGGGCCTGGGCCGATCTATGGGGGGAAAACTCTGCTTTGCTAATTCCGCAGCTAATTAGAGACACGCTCGTAAATGAAGTTGTTTGTCTGGAAGTTGCACCTCGGCGGCGCGGGGTCAGGGCCCCGCGGGGCTGCGGAGCGGGAAGCGCGCAGGACGCGTGTCCCGGAGCCGGGGGCGCTTCCTGCGGTGGGAGACAGACGGGGTGGGACCGGCCCCGGTGCCGCTGCCCCTGGCGAAGCGGCTCCATCGGATGGTGCGGGAGCCGGGAGCGCTCCGGGGGCAGCGACGGGCGCTGCCGCACGAGCCCCGTGTGCGGAGCCGCGAGCTGGGAGGGAGGAGATGGGGCCGCACACGGGGACAGTGTGACCGGACAGACAGACAGTGTGACCGGATGGACAGATGAGACAACAACAGGCAAAGGGTGCTGCACACCCACAGGGTGACGCTGCGGGAGGGACAGACACAATGGGGAGTGTCCATCCATACTCGCACTGTGTGTCCATCTGTCCTTCCTTAGTGACTCTGTGTCCGTCTGTCCTTCTATACTGTCACTTGGTGTCCATCTGTCCTTCCATATGGACTGTCACGCTGTGTGTCCATCTGTCCATGTCCGGCTGTCCTTCCATCCTCTCACTGTGGGTCTGTGTCCGGCTGTCCTTCCATATAGACCGTCACTGTGTGTCTGTCCTTCTATACGGTCACTCTGTGTGTCTATGTGTCCATGTCCATCTGTCCGTCCATATTGACTGTCCCGCTGTCTGTCCATATCCGTCTGTCCTTCCATATTGACTGTCACTGTATTTGTGTCTGTCCTTCCATATCAACAGTCTGTCTGTCCGTGTCCATCTGTCCTTCCATACTGTCACTCCGTGTCTGGCTCTCCGTGGCCGTTTGTCCTTCCATATTGCCGCTGTGTCTGTCTGTCCTTCCACACAGACTGTCACTGGCTGTCCTTCCATAAGGACTGCCACACTGTGCCTGTGTCCGTCTGTCCTTCCACATACTCTAGTACTTTTTCCGTTTGTCCGTCTGTCCTTCCATAGAGACTGTGCCTCTGTGTGTGTTTGTGTGCGCGTGCAGCTCTCTGTTCCGCTGTGTCTGTGTCCTTCCATACAGCCTGTGTGTGCATGAGCTGCTGTGTGCGTCCTTCTGTGGCACTGTTTGTCTGGCCTTCCATACAGCGTGTGTGTGTGTGTGTGTGTGTGTGTGTGTGTGTGTGTGT